TCAAGTTCTTCCTCTTCCTTCAACTCTTCATGTTAAATGTTGGAGGTCATAAATGTTTTGATAATGTTAACATAATATGCAATCATGTAACAAACTACCTGAAGAACACAATCTTTATTTATGACTTTGAAACGAGCTTCTTATTAGTATTGATTTAATTATAATCCAAGCCATAATGTTTAGCTTAAGATTAATATAACTATCGTTAATATTACGTCTCTCTTGTCTAATAGTTCGATTCTCCGACCCACTTATTTAGGATCTCCTACTTGATCATGGATCATCTGATTTTTTTTGTGGTCCGTGGAATTAGCCTATACAACTTCTATGTAGTTTCTTATGTTCGTTTATACTAAAAAAATGAAACTGATTAATTCCTAAATATTTGGGCTTCTTTTCATTCACACTGACCGTATTAATCGAGGTAAATTTCCGTTCCACCAAAAAACACATTTTGCACAGGATAAGAATAAGTTAGATAAATCATGTTTGACATATATTTATTTTTTAATTTAAAAAAAGAGAAGTTATTTTCTTAATAAAATTATAAAAAAAAAAAACATATTACTTCCAGGTAGAACATAGTTTCTCCGTCACTTCAGGCAAAGAGGCTTCTACTGTTACTCCGTAGTTTTTACTCCAACAATATTCGCTTTTGCTTTCGTTCAGTTGACACCATTTACGCTTTCATTTCCTTAAATTTTCAGGTAGGATAGCTGTTCCACAATGTCTTCTCGCAGATCAAACGAAGAGGTAATCCTTGGAACGTTTTTTTTATTTTATAAATTTCTCTGCTTTCATACCCAATCTTCTTCATCTCAAACAATAATGCATGCAAAGCACTTTTTGCCCTGTATTTTTTTTGTTAAGAAAAGTTATTTTGACAATGCGAACAAAACAAAGTGCACCGGCCAACAAAAGCGTTTCGGATTAATTTTTTCAACTGTAAATAGTGTATCTGCATGAGTTCTTATTCATTACTGCGTTAAAATCTGAAACCCAAAGAATGAAACTCTGTTTACTGGATGTCTGATGAGAAAATCGCCGTTCGAAGTTTAAATTTTGTATAGGAGAAGTTACTCAATTTAACCTAAATTATTAGAGAATTTTTTTTTTATATCTTTATATTTAATTACTCAATAAATGTTACAAAAAATTGATTTGCTCTGAAAAAAACTAATTAGGTTTTAAATTTCTTAACTAAAAAGTAGGCTCATACAGTAAATTTGCAACCCTTTGAACCAGCTAAAAAATTAACAATAGTTTTAAAAGGTTATTTTACTCGATAAGTCCATGAACTATTTTTGGATTTTCTCATAGGTATTTAAATTGATTTTTTTTAATTAGGTTCCTGATAAAAAAAAATTTAGTTGAGTTCCTCAAAATTCTAAAGCCGCCATAAATTATCATTTATTTGCAATTTTAAGACAAAAAAGTAATGCAAGAACCTATTTTTTAGGGGTATAGTTCAAACATAAATAATTTGAGTTTATTTATAAATTCATAAATAGTTCACGAACCTTACATATTAATTTAAACCTTTTAACATTTTTCAGGAATTTAATTTAAAAAATGATATGATTAGTAGCGCAATTAAGAAAATAGTTTAGATTTTGGAGACTTATTTATAAAATTCTCAAATATCTAGGAATCCACTTAATAAGTTAACATTTTAAATATAGAATATGTCAATGTGTAAAATATACAGGCCATTCCTAGAAAGGTTTTTGGGTTTATGCTGGGTTCCTAATATAATAGTTATTATAATGCTTTAACATAAGGTCATAAAACTTCCTTCGTAAAGCCAAATTTGATCTATGAGCCTTGGCCTCAATGAGAGGCTCTCCGGAGTTAATCTTTTTATAAGAAAGAAAACTAGAAGACAAATGAAGAATTAAATGTCTCAAACTAAAATTTATAGTTATACATGACTAAAATGAGATTTTGTGGAGAAATTGTAGAAACTAATAAGTTGTGGCATAATTTAGTTGCATAAATAAAACTTGGTCAGATATTGTATTCAATGGGAGAATATTTATTTGGATCCCTTTCAAAGTGGCTTGAATTTTGACGTAGAAGAAAGCATGCTCTTGGATTAGGTATTTGATGTTACAATGGTATTGTTACTTGTTGCTATACATTAGGAGGACAAGGTTTGCTTATTTGAACATTTTTTAAATCCTTTCTTCATGAAGTAGGACTCCAATGGCCGAATAATACTCTTGCTGTTTGTTTTAGGTCTTAAAAAACTTTATGTAGCTAGTATACTTAATAACTACTTCAATTAACTGGTTAAGTATTTTCTTGACTTGGCCTATTAATTCAAGTCGTTTTCCTTTTATGATTGCTGATCATACTGTTTCATATGACATTTGCAAACTTGAGTTGAGTTCATCCTTTTTTTTGTATTAGTCAACAACATTTTGAAAAATAACCATTGTTGGAGAGGTGATCAATCTTATTTGTCTAGATATGAAAGCTTTATCACTAATCTTTTTTTGATGCAGTAGCTAGTGGTAGAGATGCATTAGAAAATGAAGTCCCCTTGCCGCCGCTGCCTGATCGTACAACAAATTTGCAATGGGGTGAGGTTAAACCACTTTCAGGAAAACCATACTTTCATAGTATTCTTACAAGTTCAAATCTCTATCCCCGTTATTATATGGTAATTTCGCACTTGGTTTTATAGATCCCATATCCCATTTGGTATCTCTTAAGTATAAAAGACAAAAGAGATAGAAGTCAATTGACTATAATTTGGTCTAATAGAACTCTTCCTTCCAACTCTTAGCAGTGGGGTTGAATTTAAGATCATGCATTAGAGACCATCAAAGTTGTATGTTTGTGTACATCAACATGAAGGAAAAATAGAATAAACAAATGAAAAAGGAAACAGGCATGACTATTCAATTCTAATGTTTTTGTTGATTACGTTGGAGTTGGATTACTTCATTTTTTGTTTCATAAAGGTTCATTTTCTAGATCATATAGAAAATTGATTAATTTACTTTGCCTTGAGAAATCATGCACACATTGAAACACTAGACTATCAATATTTAATATTCTTTCTTTCATACAGTTTACATGGGAGAATCGTTTGAAATATTTTATTTGTTGGTATACAGTGGCCTGCGATCAGCGTACGGTTAGAACTTCCTTTTTGTGAGGTCCCCACCATTCTCACCTATATGGGCAAGAGCTGGGACATGGTGTATTGTGGACAAAACAAACTGCAGGTTTTTAGTGCCGCAGGATGGAAAAAGTTTGCTGTTGAAAATTGTTTGAGGGTTGGAGATGCATGCATTTTTGAGCTGATGGAAAGCAGTGACAAGAAAGTCATCTTTGAAGTTCAAATTCTTAGAGGTGACATCCCATATGAAATTCTTAAAAATGAAATGATTATAGGTCAGAATCCGGAAATGCCAATTGTCCTTAACTAGTATTTTAACCATCTGATGCATTTTATTTTGTTTTTCATTCTGAGATGGTTAAGGACTTGAGGGTTATTGGATATCTTTTCTTCTGAGTAGGTGAGTGAATGGATTTAATCACTGCCGCAACTTGTTAGGAGTAGTAATTATATTTTCCGTTTCTAAATACTACTAGAATTTTATTATTGTCAGAGTAACACATTATAGTTTGTACCTTCTAGGCTAACACTGAATGCTATTTTGTTGGTGTACTCTGGGTTTTGTTACTACGTCACTGTTGAGGGGTAGAGTAGTGATGGTGAGTATTGAATGGTTTCAAAGGACAAATCGTTTCTTCCGTTTAAATGAACCTTAAATGTTTTTATAGTAAGCTGATTTGAACTTGATACACTATATTTGACCTAGACATTTTGTGCCCCTAGACGCATATTTTAGGCAAAATAAAGTTGCTTTTGTGATAATTAAAACAACAACAATAATAGCTTGTCTCAAATCTAGTTATTTGTTTTTAAAGGCGTGTTAAACGAAGAAGAAACTTTAGTTATTTATAACTTATAATCAAGATCAGTAATAGTCAATTAAAACATTGTACCTCGACTAAAGTGGTGAATGCTCATTCAATGCTCTACCTTAATCTCCAAATAATCCAATATTAAAGAACTTCGAATTTGCAGTGACAACATTAGCACTAGTAAGGAACTCTCGGTGTTCTTGTGATCATAATAATTACCTGAGCACAACCCTTTGTCACTATTACAAACACATGGACTAAGACTAAGCTTAAGATAATGCTCAACTATCATGTAATTAAGGTAAACCTCGATTTCAAGTCTTCAGTGCATTCACCAAGGACCTTACAAAAATAATAGAGGCGCTGTTCGTTCAGGTGAAGCCAGGAATTTCTCCAGGCATTGGAGCTAACTCATTCTTGCCAAACTTCTCCTCATCATAAAATGAGGCACGCACCACTCTACCCCCAAAATATCGACCATCGAGGTCAATAAGCGCTTTAGTTGTTTCTTCGGATCTCTCGAATTGCACAAATATTCTTACAGCTTCATCAGTGGGGAAATTTGGTTCTGTTATCTCAAATATCAGAACTCGGGTTACCGTTCCATACTTGGCACATTCTGATCCCACTTCATCTTCCAGCTCGTCGTCTACCTCGCCAGGACCCACCTTCAACAAGAAAACATATACAGTGAGTCATCTATGATCGATTAAACTACAAATCCCACATCCATTTTAGGATGACTTATGCAATCACTACTAAGATTTTCATGGCATAGATTATGCATACTTTAAATGAAATTATTCGGATAATTTTCTTCATAGGTATTTGTAAGAAGAAAATAAATATGTAAATGAATTAAATTATCTTAACAAACTCTCTTAACTTCTCTATAAGCCATGGTGCTTAAGTACATTTAAAAAACGTATGGGTAGAAACTCAATTTATTATTATACTTTCTTATTTTCTTCTCTTGTTAATAAAAAGTTACGGAAAATTTTATCCAAATAAAACCCAAGTATAATTTCAGGATACAAACGCACCATCTAGGGTCTCTTGTGAACATTGCGATCTCGTGAAGGAAATCATAACTATTGCATCAACTACAATTAAATGTAAAAATCTGCAACCATTTCAACTTTTGAAATTGGAAAACCCTTCAGTACAGATGTTTGCATCAGTCTTTTAGTTTTGGCTTTTATAATTATTATTAATTTCCTTCTGAGGGCAGACTTCCAAGAAGACATCTGTTGATCAATGTCAACAAAAACATGATCAAATAAACACATCAATCTGATTTGTTACCTTTAGTGATTACAACCTAGGACTTTGTAATGTGCAAAGGAGGAAACAAATGATGTACACCAATATGTTATAAAATTCAGTGTCCAGACAAGTCAACAACAGTTACAACCTGTGTGTGAAACAAGTCTAGAAATATTTTATCATGCAAATAGTAACATGACTTGGTTAAAAATCAAGGTCATAACCTAAACTTTCCAAAGAAACCAAATATGACAACTGTAAACAGATACTGACAAATATCAATCCCTTCAGAATATTATAACAATAACCTCCTCACCTAAGTCTCATCTCAAAAGCCATGTTTTAGAAAAAAAAAATTGGCTTATAACTAACAGACAGTAGCATCATCACAATGAGAGTAAGTTCAAAGATACAAACATCCCTGCAATAATACACTTATAGACTAAAGCCAATTCAAAGGAGTGTAAATCCCAACCAACAAGTTACCCACACTAGACTGAAAATAAAAAATAATCCTAATAAAAATAGGAAATAGAGGCATAACCTATCCAACAAATGTTTAAAGGAAAGAACGTCAATGATGTAACAGGGTTTTTTTTAATAGTTTCTATCCATTGCATGAGTCAAGATATAATACACACAAATTATTGAGAACAAAGTAACATGACTTTCTTTTATACTTTCTAAAGCATGACCGACCACAAGGACTTAAAAACTATAACAATTTCTCGTTCAAGGAGTGCACACTGCACAGCATATTCTCATTCATGTAATTGCTTTGGCAGTACAAAAGACCAATAGACGATAAAGAAGCATAGAGGCATGATTCCTATTCCATTCTTCTAAACATCTTTTAGTAAACAAACTTCAAAATTCAAATAACATTTATCCTCAATCGATGCTGCTTCAACTTTCTCTTCCCTACATTCATTCCTCATTCTTTTCTTGTATTCATATTCATCCACCTACCTCACCTAGTGGTATAAGGCTATTATTACATTCTCATATCTTCTACACTTATTCAGTTATTATTTACTTCTGTTGACACTTCTCTACATGCACCACCATAAAACAGTTCTGACCCTACAGCAGTCAAGATAACTTTACTGACTTTGAAAGTCACTTTACGATCCCAAATGACAAAACGGATATTCATCCACCCAACTAGAGCCTAAATGTGAAAGATGGATCGAAGATACATAAACCATACAACTTGTTTATAATGTGATCCCCTATTTACACCTTTAAAATATTAACCTGCACCTTAATGAACTTCTGTTCCATGCACATTTTCTTTTATGTACTTAACTAAAATCCTACACTCTACATTGCTAGACTTTACTCCACCACTCAAATTTAGGGTGTACCCCTTCTCTAGTCTTATTGACTAGAACCATATCATGCACAAGAAGCATGCAAAACACCAGAGGACAGGCTATTTCAAACCTGTCCTCTGTTTGTATTCCTAAAATCTCAAGTGAAGCCTTATATCGTCATAATTGGCACCAAGCAATTACAGATGAAATATCTTCCCTACGTTGTAAAGCACATTGGATCTAGTATCTAAAGTAACCAGTAACAGCTAATTGTCAATGGGCGTTTATAGTTAACGTAGCTATGTTGGTCCCCATAGGCTGTATTGACCATTTGAAGGCTCATTTAGCAGCCAAGTATAGTACACAAAAGAAGCATATTTTCTATACCTTCAAGTTTAACAATTGTTGGTATAGCATTTGCATGCCGAATTTGAAAAAACATCACCACCAAAACAAAGGTAAGAAGACTAATAGGAACATGGTTATCAAACTAGAATGCTAACTCAGACTTGGACGAGTTTACATGCCCATGATGACACAAATGTTTAACTCAGTTGCAGAATCCTATTTGAACAAGCTTGAATGCACTCACAAACTCGTTTGAACTCAGTCAATCTCATTGGTCCAGGAACAAGCTCACAAGCTCATTAGGGTAGAAAAAAAATTACTCAAAAGAACAGTTATTAATTTCATTTGAGTCTCAACACAAAAAAAGAACATTGAGGCTCGTTCACAGTCTAATTGCATGCAACTTTATTTTTTATCTGGTCAGTTGATTTCCTCTGCATATGGCGGTCTCTCTGATCAAACAGAACTGCAAGTTACAGCCCTGTATTTTGTTTCTCTGTTTTGTCTATATTTTATACGTTTGAGAAATGCTGAAATTTTGAGAGTATTAATTTCAAGTTGGCATTTCAAACCTCAGGAATTGGCAGTATATTTTGGATTTATCTTGCAATATTTATGGTATAATAATTTTGGGAATTGGGAGGATAGTTCAGAATAATTTACGTCTTTTATATTGAGTAAGCTCTTTCAAATATACAGTCAAGGCCTCTATGAGTTTATATAAACTCTCAACTTGGACAACCTAGAATATGTATACAAGTTAAACACAATTTCTATATGATAAAGCAAACTGATCAGCGGAATGAAAACCTAATAAGAAGCCTGACGCATTCATTTTGTCAAATTAAATAATATAAGCACCGTAAACAATAGCTCATAGCATCAAATTCATCACTCGTCACGATTATTAAAACCACATCCATCACTGACCAAGCCAAAACTTCACAAGGGCTCATCGCGTGCAAAAATTAACCCCTAATAATTTTAAACGGAAACTCCATATCAGGAAGGCCAAAATCTACAACATCACAAGCAACAAAATGCGAAAATTACATCCTATCTAAAGTTAATACAAGACGTTTCATCTAAGGCAGCAACATCCAAAGGAATTGATAATAATCCAGTAGAGAATCAGTCATAACACAAGCACACTAGTTACCTCATAAAACATAAACCTGACTGATAAACTTTCAACATCACTAAAGATCAATATCCAAAAGCACTTGAATGAAATCAACACAATTACACAAACAAGCACTTGTCATGTCGAAACACACCCAATAAACAGATGTAACATACCATATTCCTAAGTAGCAGCACCTTGGTAGGCACTCCATTGAAGTTAACACTCTTCACTTTCTTGCTGTTATCACTAGCATTCACAATAACCCCAGCTCTTCTATCCGTTTTCTTTGCCATCAAAGGAGTGGTAATCCCCTGCTCCTGCTTCCCAAGTCCCTGCCCCTCCTTCCATCCCATCTTCGCCATCATCCTCTGCGCCGCCGTCATCTGTCCACCCGCCCCCACTCCCAACCCTCCTGTCTCAGACTTCCCAATGCTAAACCCGTCCGAATTCCCCGTTGGAGGCGGCGACGGTGATCTCGGCACGGCCCCACTCATCGCCGCACGCCTCCTCCACGCCTCTTCACCGGAAACATTCAACCTCGATTCACTGTAATCCCTTTCTCGCTCTCGTTCCTTCTCGCGCTCCCTCTCTTCGTCCTCCTCCTCCTGGCGGCGGCGCTCGAGCTCCCGCAGCATCTCGGCCTCACGGGCCTTGCGCTTGCGGTCGCGGCGGTACTCCTCGTAGTCGTTGGGCCGGGCAGGGTCGTACTCCTCGAGAACGGTTGACTGGACGCCGACAAGAGCGGGCTGCAGGGCGTCGTCAGGAGGCGGGGCGGGCGTGGGGGAGAGAAGGGCCTTAGTGTTGGCGACAACGGGCTTGGGCTTGGGCTGGGTTCGGAGGAGGGTTTGGGGAGGCGCGAAGAGCGAGGCGGGCTTGCGGAGCGTGGCCGGGGCCATCTTGGTGCTGGAAGACCACACATTGGGAGTGGGTTTGTTGTCTTCCTCCGCCGAAGAAGGTGGAGGAAGGTCTCCGTATAATCCACCCAACATTTGAATATTGAAAATTGAAAGCAAACGAAAACGGATTCGTCGATTCTACTACCACTTCAGAAGGGGAATCGAGAAAAGATAGATAAACCGGATAACGAATAGTGCTTTGGGATTAGATTAGGGATTTGTTGATGACACCAACACAGAACGAAGCACAACACGCGCGGCCGAATACTGTTAGCCGTTGAGTGATCTCGATGGCCTCAATGAGTCGATGGGTCTCCGTCGCGCACCACTCGATTGCGTCGCGGCAGAGTGATTTATTCACTTTAGTAGTCTTTTTTTTTTAACATTAACCTTAGTAGTTACTAATGCACGTGAAATGGGAAAAAAATTGTTTACCATGGAGTTAAGAAATCACTATTTTCTCTTCTTGAATGATAAAAAGAGTTAGAAGTCTTTATTTCTCTCTTTGAAGGACTAATTAGATTAGAAATTGATTATTTATCTTTTTTAATGATCAAAAAGAGTTAAAAGTTTTTATTGTTTTTAAATATTTGGAGGAGAGAGAAAATAATTTACTAATGTCAATTGAGAAAAGATAATCAAAAAAAATAAAAAAAAAGAGCGAAGCACCAACATTTATAAAGACATGTAAAATGAATCTCAATTGCTCAAGACACGTGACATGTAATTGGTAACCACCTAGAAAAGTTCTTCTAAGAGAGTTATAAGATAGTTTAGCATGTAACTTATTTAAATTTTAAATTTATTATGATCAAAAGATTTAGAAGTCTTTATTTTTGTTAGATATTTGAAGAAGGAGAGAGAAAATAATTTGCTAATGTCGATTGAGAAAAGATAATCAAAACAAAAATCAAAGCAAATAAAAAAGAAGAACAAAACACCGACCGTTATTAAGATATGTAAAATGAATCTCAATTGCTTAAGACACGTGACATGTAATTGGTAGCTACCTAGAAAAGTTTTTTTTAAGAGTTATAAGATAGTTTAGCATGTAACTTGTTTAAATTTTAAATTTATTCTCTATAAGTGTCAAAAGAGAGTTAGAAAATATAAATAGGTTCATTTTACATTTACAAGAGTGATAAATTGTGGAACAATACATACATTCTCATAAACGTCATGAGCAAGAAAAATGACTAATCAAGTTTTGGTTGTTGCAATTTTGGTCACCACTCATTAATCTAGTTTACAAGTTTCTTTACTTTCTCTATAAGTGTCACAAGAGAGTTAGAAAATATAAATAGGTTCATTTTACATTTACAAGAGTGACAAATTGTGGAACAATACATATATTCTCAGAAACATTGTGAGCAGGAAAAATGACTAATCAAGTTTTGGTTGTTGCAATTTTGGTCACCACTCATTAATCTAGTTTACAAGTTTCTTTACTTTTACTGATAATTTAATTTCTTCAAGTTATGTGTTTTCTTCACATTTTATTGTAATTCGTTTAATTTGTTTTTTGTTGTCATCGTACCTATCATTTCTATATTCACCATTTTAAATATACACTTCATCCATTGTAATTTTTTTCTTATTTCCAATGTTGCTAAATAAATAAATAAATAAGCAAAAGGGTGGATTGAATTTATTGAGTGTTTAGATGAAATTAATTCACGAAATAAGTGATTTCTACATCAAATATATCTTTGTAAAGACTTAAAGCAAAATGCCATAGTTAGATTGAAAAACAAGTGTCTACTAGTATTGTGGAAAAAAAATCACGTTGAATCGATTTAGTTTTTAAGTAATAACAAGAAAACAATCGAAACTAAATCCTTAAGAAACAAATTGGCACGCCCAATGGGACCCTTATGTGTTAGAAGGTTAGTTATCAACTAAGTGGTGTATGAAATTAAGGAGCGAGCAAGTAACAATGTCTCAAAATACACAAAGTTTGAATTTGTCAACTATAATAAGATTCATGTGTCCCTTGGCTAGCATGAATTTGAGCACTAAAGCGCAAATTGTAGGGTTTATGGTAAATCAAATAGTTGGCCAAAATGTATCTTCAATGCAAACTAGAAGTAGTCATGTTACTACTTATGCAGGGCAACATGTGAGTACAAGAGGAGAACACATGCCCTTAGGAGGAAACTTCAATGGAACAAGGTCGTCCATGCTTATTCCTAATGAATGACATCTTTGGGGCATGTTGACATCATCATCGATATTAGGCTCCAAATAATGACTTTGATAGTGTAGGGACTGAAATATCCAATGCTTCATTAGAATTATTGAGATAACAAATAGATGATGGTAATAAAGAAATGGTGAATGTATTATCCATTCAAATGACCATCTTTTTAAATGTTTTGGTTTGAACAATGGTTGATAGTTTTTAGAGGTTGGTAGAGCAAGTGGCTCGAATAAGGGATGCCTTGGCAATTCCCCAAGAAAATAATGTTGAGAACCATAATGTTAATCAAAACTACATAAAACAACAAAAAGTTGCTAGCCAAAGGATACAATAGCTAGAGAATGTTGGTAATTTTAACCAAGATCTAGGTTGAAATTTTCATATGTTTAAGTGAGGTCAAAATGTTGATAATCTACAATCTACTAAACAATTTAAGAAATAATTGAAGAAGGAATATTGATTATATGAGGAATGACTTTGGTTATAATTACAATCAAAATAACATGGGAAATCATTATGAGCATTCAAAGTTCAATCAAATAATGGTTCTTGGACCTTATAACCAACCTTATTTTGTATCTCCATTCCTAGATTTTATCCTCAAGATTGAGTTACCCTCATGTATAAAATACCCAAATTCTCTAAATTTGTTAGGAAAATAGACGAATCGACTATAGAACTTGTTGTTAGGTATCAAATTGAATGTGGTGATTTCACCACGAGTGAAAATTTAAAAAAGAAGTATTTTCCTAGTTCTTTTACAGAAGATGTTTTCACCTGGTTTACAACTCTATCCCTAAATTCGATTTATAGTTGGTATTAATTAGAAAGAAATTTTCTTAAGCAGTTTTAGAGGGGAAACCCAAGTAAGCTTAATTGATCTAATGAATGTGAAAAGTTATAATAATGAAGCCATAGACGATTATTTAACTCCTGAAGCTTTTGATGATACACAAAAAATTAATAAATATACTTTTGAGAGGTATGGCTCAATTAATAGATAGAGTAAGAAGAATTGAAAAAATTAAATATGAAAAAGAGAGACATCAAAAGTTTGAGAAAGCAACTACGAAAGAGTGAATTTCTTATGTAGAGGCTTTGCACGAAAACTCAGATGAGGAGAGTATGAGTGATAGCAAAGAGGTTAATTTAGTTAAATTAAAAGTTGGACCACCTTATATTTGTAAGTTACTACAAAAAGGTGAGGTAGATAATAATAAAATGGCAAAGAGAGTTTATACATTCGATGTATCAAAAACATATCACATATTCACTATTTTGTTAAAAGATAAAGAGAGAAAAAATGGGCAATGATCATAGATGGTCTTTTTTCGAACAAAGAAGAGGGAAAAATATTGTAAGTTTCATAAAAAAATCGTATACTTTTCAAGAATACTATACAAGATGAAATCGAGTAAGGTCGATTGAAGTTTGAGGAGAAATCAACCAAAGTGTTTGGTCATGGACAGAGGATATGCTACCAATAAAGGTTAAAAGTTTATCTTTAATTGCACACCCTAGATTTATTCCTACAATAAAAAAGCTCACAAAATAATTCATTGGACTACAACTTAAGACCAGTTTCCACTCAATCTTAAGCCAATTAGATAGCACTAGTGATCAATTCATTCAATGTTGAATATAAATCAATTAACAAACTTTAGATCAAAAGAAATCATACACAAATAGAAGGTATTACCAAATACAAGAGATTTCAAATCTGTTTACATCTTGCTCCAACACTTGGAGATTTAGCTCCTTATTGTTAAGACAAAATCTTCTATAAGACAAAATGTTTAAACGCTCTCATGTTTTGAAGTTTAATCAAATAAAATTAAAGGAGACACGAATCTGAAAATACTTAAACTAAAAGAATAGGATAGGCTGAAACATAGGTGCTAGGAACAACATTCTCAATCATCCATCAACATAGATAAGCCTTAAGAAAACAACTAGGTTAAAGCTTCCAGACGCAATGTTAAACCATGTATAAGTCAAAGCTTCTGAGAGAGGTATGCTAAACGCGTAAGCTATACTGTACCCAATGCTAATAAGTTGAACTCTTAATAAGTAAAGAGGTGTCAAGATAATATCTTTGACCAAACCCTCTAAAAGCCTTAAACAAAGATCCAAAACCTATAGAAGATGAAGTTCAAAAGGCAATATCCCAAAAAGAATTTACAACATACTATACGATACCATAAGCTAAAATTTTTACTTCGTCCAACGATAAAGTTATTACTCAACGACTGGTATCTTAAGAAAAAACTTAAATGATAAACGCTACCTCAACGGTAGAAAATGCGAAAAACACATTGTTGTTATGAACAAGCATTAAATGTCACTAAATGTTTAATGTTCAAAAACATCAAAAGTGATAAGAGATAAGACATATCTGTTGCATGCACAATCTATTCTATTTTATGCAGATAACCTATTACATGCATCAAAATGTTTTATTTGAAATATATCATAAGTGGACATAAGAGACAAAGAAGACATTCATAGAATGTTCTCTTCATAAGAAGATGTGTTTGAAAGATAGTACAACCTACTTTGAGCAAAGTACTCAAAAAGCAAGCCTGCTCTAACAAGTTGACTTTAACCAACGGTTGTTTCCCATGCAAGATAAAGAATACAAAAGATTCAAGGTCAAGAGCTCAGGCTAACGGATACATTTTGAAAAAGCCAGGAAGAATTAAGAGAATAGCTTACAACGAACATATCAATCCTACAAAAAACGTTAAGAAGAGAAGCACATAAAAGTTCAAGCAAGAGGGCAATATCTAAGAAGAGAAAAACAAAAGTCAAGCAATAATTTCGAGCCTCATTGTAATATTTGCTTACTACTATAAGTAGAGAGTAAAAAGTAAAGAGTGAAACACTCATCGAGTCTATAGAAAGTATTGTATTGAACACATATCCTCTTTGCGAGAGTAATAGTCTAAGAGACTTGTAAGCAATCAATTAAATACAATTCTGAAGAGAATTAAAACACTTGTTGTGAAACTCAGATGAGTTAATGAATTCAAGGTAGTGTATCAAAGGATATCAGGATTGTCTAGTACTAGGAGTGGTGCAAATACTCAACTAGTCTAGAGTAATAGGAAGTTATTCGTTGACTAGGGATACCGGGAGTGGTTAATG